CCCTTCCTTTCCCTCCCTCCCTCCCTCCCTTTCATCCTTTCCCTCTCTCCCTCCCTTTCATCCTTTCCCTCCCTCCCTCCCTTCCTTTCCCTCCCTCCCTCCCTTCCTTTCCCTCCCTCCTTCCCTTTCTTCCTTTCTTTCTTCCTCCCTCCCTCTGTCTCCCTCTTTCCTTTTCTCCCTTCTTCCTCCCTTCTTTCCTGCATCCTTCTCTCTTCCCTTCCTCTCTTTCTTCTTCCTTTTCTCTTCCTTCTTTCCTCCCTCCACTTTTCCTTCCTTCCTTCCTCCTCCCTTCATTCCTTCCATTTTCAAAATAGTTTAAGATTCAAAGGAAGTTGCAAGAATAACGCAGGGAGTTTCCCCGTGGCCTTCACTCAGCCTCACCCACGTGATAGTATCTCACGTGACCACGGCACATTGGCAAAATTAGGAGACTGGCCTTGGTACAGTACCGTTAACAATACTTCTCACTTACTTGGATTTCACCAGGGGCCCTGTGTGGCCAAATCCCTGCTTTCCGTCTTTCCTCCGCCCCCAAACCTGCTGCTCTGTTTGGTGTCATAGCTAAGCCGTGGTTTGCTCATCTGTAAAGTGGGCTGAGAATCCAGTTGAGGCACCCCGACACTCACCAGGGCTGAGCTTCACAGCAGGGAAGCAGGAGTGAGCAAACCCAGCCTCCTAAAGTCCTTGAGGAATCCGGTCTGCTGGGGAAGGCAGGCACACAAATGATCATTTCCAAGCAGATGACACAGGAAGCCAGTACTGGAACCACATCCGAGTCCCCTGAATTACACAGAATGCCACCTTATTATGCAGCGCTGAGGAGAGGGCTGCCTGCCTCCCTCCTCCGCACGCCCAGCTCTCACAAGACTCTCTCCTAGTCCCGGGACCAAATGGCACTGAATTTGGGTGAGGAAAGAGGCCCCTTTGCCCCCCATTCCGTGCCAGACACCAGTGCTCGCAAACTCACTTTATGCTCTAGCAACCTTGCAAAAGGTAGCTCTTCTCTCCCTTTTACTGAAGAAGAAATGAAGGCAAACAAGCCTGGATTGTTTGTGGAACTTCTCAGCTCTGCGTGTCCCATGCTGCACACAACCCCCTATGGGAGCGCCGTGACTCTGTTACTCCTTCAGTAGACGGAGGTTTTGCTTTTCTGTCATTTCTTGTGAGAATAGAAAGTCAGTTAATGGTGGATGAGCACTCGTCTCTGTAATTGATTTTACAGGCCCTCGAAGTGTGAACATCTTTTGGCCACTAGGTTGGAGGTTTTCTGACTCCCTCCCCTCCCCACCCCACCCCGCACAGCAAGCGATCTTACAAGGTAGCCTAACGTAGGGGGCAGAGCCACAGGCCCCGGGTGTCGGTGAGACGGAGGCACCGATTGACTGCTCAGGCAGACCCTGGGATCCCAGAACACGCCTCGAGTCCACGGCGCTCTGAAAACGGGGCTCCTGCCCCTCACTCATCCGTATGAGCTCAGACTTCTTGATTGATTAATCTGCCACAGCAGTGCTGGGCGATTATTAACACCCAGAGGAGGTTGTGGGGCTCGTTCTGGAAAGAACCCTGGAGTTGAGCTGCGGGCAGATGCCGTGTGAATCCCCGTTCATAAAAGCCATGTGACTTTGGGCTTGACCTTTGAGTTTTGGGCTCTCACCCTGTAAAATGGGGAAAGCCAGGATCTACCTTAAAAGAATCTTACGCACGTGGAACGAACTCACGGTTTTTATATTACTTAAGCCTGGTAGAGCCCAGATGACAGGTGGTCAGCACACGGAAGCTGTCGTGGACAATGGTGGTGACTGCTGTTGCCGGGGCCCGACCCAGCACTGCCTGAGAGACAGAAGCCACCTGCCACCACTCACACCTCAGGTCCCGCAAGGGAATTTTATGCACGCCATATTCCCAACACACCCTCCAGAAACAGATGGTTAGCCGCCCCGTTTTCTTACGGGACTCTAATGGACTGTTAAAACCTCATTTTATGTACGTGGCGCCAGGAGTGAGGAGCTGAATGGAGCTGCAGCGGCTGGATGTAGGGTCCTCAGGGTGGCCTGCCGTGTGCTGAGAACAGCACGGATGGCGGCTTTTCAGCAAAAGAGAATGTGATTATGTGGGGTTTGGGTGGTGATGCGATCTCGGGGGTCGAGGGTGGCTGCTTGGAATGCCGGGCTGACCTCTGACCTTTCTCAGCCCCCATGTTTCCTGTCTGGGTTCATTTTGATTCAGGGAGCCCCGGGGGTTTGCAGAAGGCTCATCATACCTGACGTTGCCATGGGAGGGGGCCCTTCCCCAGACAAAGGGTGGTCTATAGACTCAGCTCTCTTCTCCCCCCAGGCTCAACTGCACAAGAGGCCAGAGGTGGACAGTCCCGGCGAGACCCCCAGCTGGGCACCCCAGCCCAAGACCCCCAAGTCCCCCTTCCAGCCTGGGGCGCTGGGCAGTCGTGTGCTGCCTTCCAGCATGGACAAGGACGAGAGGTGAGGAGTCCTGGGGAATGGGGGTCCCGGCGAATGGGGGTCCCTGTCCTCCCAAACTCAGGGTATACTTCTAGAGAGGTGCCCGCATAGGTTTTACAGCTGAATAGAGGAGAGTTTCTACTTTTTAATTTTCTCCAGCAGCAGAGGCTTTGTTCATGTGAACTTTCAGCACTCCAATATGTGAAAATTACAGAAGTACAACAGAGGCTGGGGAAGGAAGCCAGGAGTCAGGCCAGCTGGCCTCCCCTCTTCCCCTGTCCCCTGCTACCTCCGCCACAGAACGCTAGAGGGCCACTGTTGGAGAAATACTGATCTGGTTTAGCCCTGTCCAGACCAGTGGGGAAACTGAGGCATTCTCCCTCCTCCTACCCTCTGGGAGACCTGGGAAGGCGGATCAAAGGGCACAGCCAAGTTGAACGAGCTCAGTTTTACTCCCTTTATGGAGCAGCTGTCCCGATCCTGGGCTTGGCCTGCTCTGTGTAGACACAAGCCCAAAGCAGCTTCTGCCCTGCAAGAGGCTCTCAGACTGGGGTGTTTCGGCAGCTGGGGGTGGAGGTTAGGGGCTCTAAGGTCATACAGCCAGGGTTTAACTCCAGCTTTGCAGCTTAAGAGCTCCATGACCTGGGAAAAGGCACTTGACGTCCTGAACCTGTCTCCTCATCTGTAAAATGGGCTTTCTAGCCTCCCAACGTTCCAGAGTGGTCATGAGGTTGAAAAAGAGTGTGTCTAAAGCCCTTTGCCTGGGCCCTGGCATGGAGAAGTGCTCAGTGAAGGACAGTGGAAATCTGGTCATGAGCACTGTGAACCCGTGAAGGGCGGGGATTTTTCCTGAAGCTAGAGCTGTAATGATAGTAAGTGCTGGCTGCATCAGAGCCAGGGTGGGTAAGCTGTGGTCCTCAGGCCAAATCCAGCTCACATCTGTTTTTGTAAGTAAGCTTTATTGAAGCACAGCCACGTGATTCATTGACGTACCGTCTATGACGGCTTTGGTGCTGCCGCTGCAGAGTTAAGAAATAGCACAGACACCCCACAGAATTAGAAAGATTTACTCTCTGGCCCTTTCTCTGACCCCTGTGATGGAGAAAGGCAGAGGAAGGGCTGGTAATGCACACTTGAGGATGGCTGGCAAAAAAGACTTCAAGCTGGGTGTGGTGGCTCACATCTGTAATCCCAGCGCTTTGGGAGGCAGAGGTGGGAGGATCGCTGGAGACCAGGAGCTGGAGGCTACAGTGAGCTATGATTGCACCATTGCACTCCAGCCTGGACTACAGAATGAAGCCTTGTCTCGTAAAAAAAAAAAAAGAAAGAAAGAAAAGAAAGAAAATTTTAAAAATTAGCTGACCGTGGTGGCACATGCCTGTAGTCCCAGCTACTCCAGAGACTGAAGTGGGAGGATCCTTTGAGCCCAGGAGATGGAGGCTATGGTCGTGCCACTGCACTCCAGCCTGGGCCATGCAGTAAGTCCCTGTCTCTCTTAAAAAAAAAAAAAAAAAAAGCTTCCAAGAGAAGGAGATACTTGAGCTAAATCATGGTGGACAGTTGGGACTTAGCTGGACCAAGGACAGTGAGAGGGGACCCCAGGCTCAAGCCACAACACATGCAAAGGCCTGGAAGCCACATATACCCGGGAGCCTCAAGCAGTGCAAAATACAGAGCACAGAGTGGACTGCGGGAACCAGAGGGCAAGATGTTGGAGAGAGACGGGGTCGCAGTTGGGACAGTGCCTCCCTGCTCTGGTAATGCCAGAATTGGGGCTCCAGAGTCAGCTGAGGGCACCAGCATTTCTCTGTGGCCTGAGGAACCCCCAGACCAGGGTCTCAGAGGCACCTCCAGAGGCCTGGGCTTGTGTCTCCACTATTAGGCAAGGTGTGGCTGAAGTCTGGATACCCTAGACCCCTGTGTGCCCAGGGGGTCCTCTTCTTCCTCATTCCTAGGCTGGCAGGCATAGCAGTTCAAGGCCTGCCCTTAGACTCCAGAGTCACCTCATCTCTCGTCCCCTCTGCCACACACCCCCACCCCACCACCAACCAGGCCAGCATCTTTTCTGGGCCCTCCGGGGCCACGGGTCTCAGGAGCTTTCTCTGAGATCAAAGTCAGTCACGTCCTATGTGCATGTGTGTTTGATTTTAAAAGCAGATCTTTAGTGTAGAAAATATACACAGAATACAAAGCAGGAAAGGAGAAAAGAAAATCACCCATAATCCTACCCTGCAAAGACCACTTCTGTTGGTATTTGGACATCTCTACTTCCATTTTCTTTTTCTTTTTCTCTTTTTTTTTAAACGGAGTCTTGCTCTGTCACCCAGGCTGGAGTGCAGTGGCGCAATCTTGGCTCACTGCAATATCCACCTCCCAAGTTCAAGCAATTCTTCTGCCTCAGCCTCCCACTACAGGCGTGCGCCACCACGCCTGGTTAATTTTTGTATTTTTAGTAGAGATGGGGTTTCACCATATTGGCCAGGCTGGTCTCGAACTCCTGACCTCATGATCCACCTGCCTCTGCCTCCCAAAGTGCTGGGATTACAGGCGTGAGCCACTGCGCCCGGCCTCTTTTTCTTTTTCACACAGCTGAGATCACGTGTGCCTGGTTTGATGCCCTTGCTACGTGTTCTGTATGAATACTTTCCCATGCCCATTTAACAATCTTCATAAACACGATTTTTTTTTCTTGAATAAAGTTTTAAACAACGATGACTTTATTGTTTTTTGTTTTATTTTTTGTTTTTGAGACAGGGTCAAAAACAAAAAATAAAGCAAAAAACAGTGCAGAGGCCTGATGGTATATTTGCTTTTTAGACAGTACCTCACTCTGTCGCCCAGGCTGGAGTGCAATGGCACAATTACAGCCTCAACCTTCCCATTCTCACGTGGTCCTCCCACCCCAGCCTCCCTGAGTGGCTGGGACCATGTTTGTATACCACCACGCCTGGCTAACTTTTGTATTTTTATGTAGAGAAGGGATTTCACCATGGTGCCCCAGCTGGTCTCAAATTCCTGGGCGATCCTCGGCCTCCCAAAATGCTAGGATTACAGGCGTGAGCTACTGTGTCTGGCCTGACATTATTGTTTTTTATTAAAATGTTGTGTTCTCATAAGAGATTCCAAGAACACAGGAAACTGCTAAGAAGAGGGTAAAAAAAAATAAAACTTAAAAATAGTACCATTTAGATGGTGGTTACTGAAATGTATTCACCTTGAGAAAATGAGCCGTGCACATTTTGATTTCGGTACCTTTCTGTATGTGTTCTTCCATTTAAAAAAGTTTAAACAAATCTCACCAACCCAAAACAATTACTGGTGACATTCGATAAACAAAGGGTATCTCTCTATGTCTTCTGGGCATTGTATTATTCAGAGTTTTCCAGACAAACAGAACCAATAGGATGTGTGTGTGTGTGTGTGTGTGTGTGTGTGTGTGTGTGTGTGTGTGTGTCTCTGTCTGGTGTGTAAATAATACAGCTGACCCCCGAACAAGGCAGAGATTAGGCGTACTGACCACCTACTTAGTCAAAAAGTTGCATGTAGCTTTTGACTTTCCTAAAGCTTAACTAATAGCCTGTAGTTGACCAGAAGCCTCACCCACACCCACATAGATTTTGTATGTTATGTTTTATCTACCATAAAGTGAGATAGAGAAAAGAGGATGTTATTAAGAAAATGAGAAGGAAGGGAAAATATACTTCCTGTTCGTTATGTGGAAGTGGATTATCACAGAGGTCTTCTTCCTTCGTCCTTACTGTTTTCCCACTGAGTAGGCCGAGGGGGAGGCGGAAGAGGGGGGATTGGTCCTACTGCCTCAGGGATGGCAGAGGCAGAAGAAATCCCAAGTGGACCCACATAGTTCAAACTGTGTTGCTCAAGGGTGAGCTGTATGTACATGTGCATATGTGTGTATGCATGTGTGGATGCATGTGTGTATGTATAGGGATTGATTTTAAGGAATTGGCTCTCATGATTATGGAGGCAGGCAAGTCCAAAATCTGCAGAGCAGGCCAGAAGACTGGGGATGCAGGCAAGAGCATTCCGGAAGGCGTCCCTCTGCTTCCTGGGAGGTCAGTCTCTTTCTATTCAGGCCTTCAACTGAGCAGATGAGGCCCATTCATATCATGGAGGGTAGTCTCCTCTCCTCAGCACCTACTGATGTTAACCTCATCTAAGAAGAAATATCTAGAATAATGTCTGACCAAATATCTGGGTACACGTTAGGTTTAAGTTGATGCATAAAATTAACCATCGCAGACACTTATCTGGATAGAGAGATGGAAGGCTGGGATAGCTATTTGCATGACAAATGGATGGATGGAAATAATTTTATATAAGATGAATTTTGTTTGTTTTCTTTTTGTGGAGAATGGGGTCTCACTGCGTTGCCCAGGCTGGTCTCAAACTCCTGGGCTCAAGCTGTCCTCCTGCCTTTGCCTCCCTTAAATGTCGGAGTTACGGGAGTGAGCCTTTGTCCCCAACCAAGATAAATTTTTATGGCAGTATGTAGAAGATCTTGTAGAACGGTTATGCTGTGATTTATTTCAGTGGTTCCCAACCCTTGGCACCAGGGACCAGTTTTGTGGAAGACAGTTTTTCCATAGACCAGGGGTATGGGGGGGTGGTTTTGTGATGATTCAAACACGTTGCATGTATCATGTACTTTATATTATTACTTTGTAATTAGAATGAAATAATTGTATGGCTCATAGTAATGTAGAATCAGTGGGAGCCCTGAACTTGTTTTCCTGCATCTAGACAGTTCCAGCTGGTAGTGATGGGAGACAGTGACAGGTCATCAGGCGTTAGAGTCTCATAAGGAGCCGCAACCTAGATCCCTCACGTGCACGTTTCAGGGCTCATGCTCCTATGAGAGTCTAATGCCCCCGCTGATCTGACAGGAGGCGGAGCTCCGGTGGTGATGTGAGTGATGGGAGGGGCCATAAATACAGATGGAGCTTGACCCACCCACCGCTCAGCTCCTGCTGTGCAGCCCGGTTCCTAGCGGGCCATGAACCCATATCAGTCTGTGGTGCAGGGAGTTGGGGACCCCTGATTTGTTTATTAACATTTCCCATTGTTGGACACTGTGGTGAATTCCTACTTCTTATCAGTCATGTTAATACGGGCATCTTTGCCACCTGAGTGCTCAGCCCAGCCCCGCCTGGGCCCAGGGATAGAGTCGGGTACCACTCAGTCCGGCCCGCAAGGAGCCCACAGTCTGGTTCCAACTAGTCTCTCACTGGCTTTGTGGTTTCAGGTCAGATGAACCCTCTCCCCAGTGGCTAAAGGAACTGAAATCCAAGAAGAGGCAAAGTCTTTATGAGAACCAAGTTTGACCAGGTATGCAGAGGCTCTGCTGGGGAACCTGGGAAGAGCCTTGCAGTCACAGGAATGGGGAACTCAGTGGCAGGGTCCAGCCCTCAGAGTCTGGGGCTGCTGTGCCCAAGGAAAGAGGCTATGCAAGGGGAAAAATGGGGGGTGGGGGGTATTCTGAGTTCCTGTAAAGAGGGTGGTGATGTCTGTTTCCATTTAGGGAGACGACAGAGCTGGGGTGCCTAGAGTGGGTGAAAGGCAGCAGGCAGGAGGCAGGTGACCAGGGTTCTGAGCCTATGCACTTGGCTGGCCCTTCTAGCTGCATCACAAACCCCTATGATAAAACAAAAGGGCGGGACATCAGAGGTTAACTTAATCAGAAATGGTTACAGTTTTTTTTTTTTTTTTTACAGTTTTTTTTTTTTTTTTAGACAGAGTTTCACTCTTGTTGCCCAGGCTAGAGTGCAGTGGCCTGATCTTGCCTCACTGCAGCCTCCACTTCCTGGGTTCAAGTGATTCTCCTGCTTCAGCTTCCCAAATACCTGAAATTAACAGATGCCTGCCACCACGCCCAGCTAATTTTTTTATGTTTTGTAGAGGCGGAGTTTATGTTGAATAGGCTGGTCTCAAACTCCTGACCTCAGGTGATCCACCCACCTCAGCCTCCCAAAGTACTAGGATTATAGGCACTGCGCCTGACCAGAAATGGTTGCTGTTTTTTTTTTTTTTTTTTTTTTTTTTTAGTAGATACAGGGTTTTACCATCTTGGCCAGGCTAGTCTTGAACGCCTAACCTCGTGATCCACCCACTTCAGCCTCCCAAAGTGCAGGGATTACAGACGTAAGCCACCACCACACCCGGCCAGAAATAGTTAAAATTTTTATGAGGGGAATGTTTCATGTACAACCTATGTAGTTAAAAAATTACTTTGAAAAAATAAACATTAAAAAATTATGATAGGCTAGGTCCTGGTGTAAGTTACAAATGACCAAACATCATGAACTTCAGTTTCCTCATCTGTAAAATGGGTTAGCAGTGTCCACATCACTGAGCTGCCCTCAGACCTCACTGAGAATGCACCTGTGGTGCTTGACTGAGCACCGCCTGTTTCCCTCAGTATGGAGCTCGTGGTATATGCATCATCAAAGTCAGCATTGATGCGATGAGCACAAGAGACTCACCATCCCTTTCCACAAACCCGAATTCCAGAGAGCTCTGCAAAACAAAGCTTTTCCTAACTCAGTGGTAAAACCTGACCTGAGCGCATATAATTCTCCTTGGACTCTATTTTCTCCACTTTATATGAGTATTCGTAACACACTTAAGGCATATTATCTGCTTGATGATGGCAGTGTTACATATGTATATATATTTGCAAATGCTGTATATATATATACACATCTATGTATGTATGTTACAGGAGTATTTCTGTATGTATGATGCACATATATATGTGTATAATAAACTCTAAAAATTATAAAGTCCCAAATAAAACTGTGCTCAAGGGATTTGGATAAGGGATTGGGACCTGTGTTTATTTTGTGTTTGGTGCATTACATGTAATATCTCATTTAAGCCTCCAGCAACCCATTTGAGGAAACTGAGGCCCAGAATTGAGACTGGAACCCTGGCCTGACCCTAAACGTCATGTTGATTTCACTGTATTCTATGCCTGCCACCCTCCTCAACTCCCCTTTCCCCCCCCACACAAAAAAATACCTTTTCTGACCTTAGGCTTCTAGGGGTAACTTTATTGGAGAATATCCAGCAAGGTTTTCAGGCCTGATGGTAGAGAGAAATGGAGCCGAATGTTCCCACCGCTGACACCAGGACTGTCCCTTACTCTCCAGCCAGGGAACACCACATCTACTTAACAGAAGCCTTAACCGTCAGAACCCGCAGACAAGGCCAAGCTGCTGCCGTTTCTTCCTGCACAATGCTTACGTGCCTGGGCCCTTCCCGTTGGATTGAGAACGCTGTCCAGTGATGCTGTCCTCGCCAGGCTCTCCCTGGATCCAGATGGGAAGACCCAACCTCCAGGAGCACTCGCTCATCTCCCCAGACAGCACTTCAGGCTGGGAAAGGAGCCAGGCTGCCCAGAAATGTCCATGTGGGTGGTTTTGCTTTTTACGTAAAAATCTGCATTTCCACCTACTTTAGACATCTTCAACAGCTCCAAGAGCGTCAGCGTGAGGCTGGGATGTCTCCTCAGATTCTGAAAAACACCTGATTTTGTGAAAGCACCGCCTCACCTGACCCCAGGGCAGGCCTTTTTTTGGATGGACGTTTCCAAGGAAGATCAAACTGTTCATTTCCAGCTGTAGTCTTGGTGCAAGGCATTACCACTGGGTTGGGGGTGTTGTTTGTTTTTTTTTTGGTGAGTTCCTTCTTCCCTTCGAGGAATCGGCAGCTCCAGTTTTTAAATGTACTCTCCCTGATCCTTTGAAGCGTATTTCTCTTTCTAGTTGGGGCTGTATAATTGTTTGTCATTTTTGTTTGCTTTAGAAGGTGATAAAGCAATAATTCAGCCAATTTTCTTTGAAACTTGATATGTATATATGTGTTTATGTTAAAGGACGGGAGGAAAGGTGTGTGAGTAATTGGTTCTGAAGTATCCAGTCACCTCAGGTTACCTTATCGCTATCCAAGCTGTTTAGAAGTTGTGTCACTATTGTATATATTTCCTTAGCTTATTTTCGTTTGAGCTCTGATTTCTGTAGGATGACCTTTGTCCCTTGACCCTAAGGGTTCATAAACTGCAGCCCACGTGGTGGTGCCTTTGTCATTGAATCATCAGACCTGCCCTAAGAATCTTTTTCTCCAGAGTCTTCTTGGAACATGACCTGGGCTGCTGGCATGGAGGAGCTGTTCCGAACTGGCCTCAGAACAAATGGAGGAATGAAGGGTACTTCTTGCTTTTGCTCACCTCTTTTTCCCCCATCTAACTCCACCTGACCAAGTGCTTTTTTTGGTTCAAATGCAGGTCTTGCTGAAAGCCCTTCTCTGGAGGGGAGCTCCGCAGCCAAAGACTCTGGACAGAAGTGCTGGTTGCTAGGTGACAAAGCATAGCCTCCTTTTTTCTTGCTAGCTATCAGCTCATTCTGGGGAATCCTTAAAACCTCTGAGGGCTCCAGACACTCTCTACCTTGTCTTTGTTTTGGAAATGCCCAACACCAGCCTCTTCCACTTCTGAGTCCTAAGGCTGTAGCAGACACCCTAGATGTGCTTGGCTGGCTGCCTGCCATGCCTGGAGTTGCCATAGTCTGTGTGCCAACCTTGCCTGGGAGATACCTGTCATGAGGTGCTTGGGCAGTTCATAGAGAGCCTGAGACATATGGGGTGGAATTTCCTAATGGATCCACGCACAGCACTGGCTAGATAGGGAAGCGGAAGGCATGTGTGCCCTCCACTCCCTCCCAACAGTTTCCCAAGAGGTCAGTCTTTCTCGATAAATCCATTATTTGCAAATGCTGTCAAAACATGCTTCCTTTCTCCCTGGCTACTTCTCAAGAGTTCATTTGGCTCTCCATCTCAGCTTCCTCCCTCATCTCCCTTTACCCCTCTTCTCTCTCTTAGTGGATGGATGGGCGTGGATAGAAATCCCCTGTTTCTCTAGGTTAAGACAAACACCTGGGCCCTGGTGAGGGGCTTGCAGTTCAGCACCAGGGACAGCAACCGCAGGACTGTGAGGTGGGAGCCCACCATGTGTCCTGTTCCCTGAGATTTGGCTACTGATGAGCAATTGCTAGACCATGTCACCCACCCAGCCTTTTACATTTGGGAGCCTCATGCATCTGGGTTTGTGAGTTTGGCCCTGCTCAATGATTGTTTGTTTTCTCTTAATTCCTGTAACTGCTTTAGTTGATTTCTTTTTTAAAGATCCAGTTTATATTTTATAATAATTTTGATGTTATGACTTTCCAAGTCAATAGGATCCCCTTTAAAATACATTCCTCGTGTTTTGTTTTGTTTTTCTGAGACCAGATCTTGCTCTGTTGCTCATGCTGGAGTGGAGTGGCACGATCATAGCTCACTGCAGCCTCTAACACCTGGACTTCAGTGATTCTCCCTCCTCAGCCTCCCAAGTAGCTGGGACTACAGGTGTATGCTACCACAACCAGCTAATTTTTAAAATTTTTGTAGAGACAAGGGTCTCACCCTGTTGCCCAGGCTGGTCCCGAACTTCTGGGCTCAAGTATTTCTCCCCCTCAGCCTCCTAAAATGCTGGGATTACAGACATGAGCCACTGCAGCTGGCCTAAAACATACTCCTCACCTTTTGTTCCTGACTTCTGATCTTGGCCGCTGTCTGTCTTTCCTTCAGGTGGAAAGGACCCTCGGTACCATCTCAAGCAGTAGGAAAGGACTTGCTCTTGCATATATTGATGCTCACCATGCAAAACTCTCAGTTCTTCATTAGTCATGTCTCAGCTCAAGGATATCAGATACATCTCAGCAACAAGGATATCAATTGCTAAGGAATGAAACACACTTGAAAATGAGATTGACCTGGAAATTTTTCCCCCAATCTCTTATACCTTAATTGGGAAAAAAAAAATCTGTTTAATTCTATTTTAATTAGGACATACAGAGTTGACCCTCCTTGAAAGTGAGTAGGGCAAGCCCTGAAGATCTTCCTCACCTCCATTTGCTTTTCTATAACCTTGTCTCCACCAGCACCACAGGGCAGACAATCGCAGTGGGTCCAGGGCGACCTTCTTTCATGCAGGCTCCGCCATGATCTCTGAGTCCTACTTACGATCCATGCAATGAAGTTAGAAGTAACTGATAGCCTTTGCAGATAGCTGGGCAAATGGGTGATTTAATTCTCATTCTAAATGGAGGGGGCTCTCTTTGAGGCTAAGCAAGGGGGTGTTGTACGCTAGTTTCTAGACTTTGCCTGGAGCCCCCTTTGGAAATCTGTCTTCTTTTCAAACTCAATATGCCTTAATCATCTGTGTGCCATCGAGTCATCCAGCCCTCCTCCCCTGGGGCTTTGGCTGTCCTCAATGAGAGTCTCATGCAGAATGGAAAGTCCTCTATATGTATAATCTTTTTCCTCCCTCGTTTCTCTTCTCCTCACCTCCCTTTGCACGTCAGCATTTTGACAGCTGGTCTTTTGAGAAGCCTGTATCTTTTTCTTCTCCAGTAGATACGCTTCTTCATGGTCCTTTGCCCAATGAAACAGAGGCCTTTGGCCTTTGAAAACCCATGACAAGGCCTCAGAAATCAGTGTTGTGGAGGATTACTCCCTGCCACCAGAGAAACTCTGGTGAAAGAGAAACCTTGTGGTGTTGAGGATGTTGGGATTTTGAGTGAACCTGACCAGATAGCCTCAGGTTGTCTAGGATTCAGGGAAAGGACAATCAGACCATGGTGTTTTCCAGGGGGACATGCCAAATCACGTGGTTTCAGACAATGGCGTTTTCCTTTGTGCCTCCCTGGAGGGGTGGTCCCCTTAAGGGCATCGCTAAGAAGCCAGAACAGAAAGGCTGGGCAAGGGATTTGGAAAGACCCTTAGTGTGATTTTCCTAAGAGAGACCTCAGCTGCTCTGACCTGGTGCTGATAGCTGCTTTGTCGGTCTGTGCTTTCAAATTTTCTTTACAATATGCCCCCAGATGGCTTCTGGAACTAGTCATAATTGCAAACTGTAAAAATCCCTCCTCCCCAGTTTAGATATTGAAACCAGAGTAAGTGATAGGAAGACATTCTGTGTTCTCTGAATGTGCCTTCCCCCTCACCATGTGTCAAAACCCAAAAGCTGAAGATCCACGGCATCATGATTCCATGGGACTGGGGGGAGGGGAACCTACTCCACTTCTAGAGGGGGATCTGCTTCGGGCTCAGTTCCCTTAGCGAGTGGGGGACCCTTGCTGTCTGCTCAGAAGCTGCCAGGACTCACCCAGTTGGAATTCCAGGCAGGCCAAGGCTCGGGAAGCCTAGAGCCTCGTAAAAAACCGGTAGGCGTGAATGTGCCGGGCCTTTACCAGCCTTCCTCTCCTTTTGCACCCCTCAGTCCAGCGGGTTTTTTTCCTTTTGCCTCAATTGGCCCCTGCAGGGGGAAGGGCAGAAAGCTGGGCCCTCTGCTCTGGAAAGTCAGCCTGAGGTTTCTGGCAAGGTAACCCTTAAAATCGACACTTCTCGGCCCTGCCTCCCCTTTGGCCTTCCCAGAATCTCCTTCAATAGTTGCTCTCGTACCCGTGCCGGGACATCTTCCTCCATGACTTGGACTGGCACCTCCTTGACAATCCCTGTTGGCATCAGACTGGCTAAAGATGATGCTGTTTTCTAAAGAATTTGAATTTTTTTTTTTTTCTTGAGACCGGGTCTCGCTCTGTTGCCCAGGCTGGAATGCAGTGGCACAATCACAGCTCACTGCAGCCCCCAACTCCTGGACCCAAGCGATCCTCCCACCTCCACCTCCTGAGTAGCCTAGATGACAGGCGCACACCACCACGCCTGGCTGATTTTTTAAATCTATTTTTTGTAGAAACAGGATCTTACTATATTGCCCAAGCTGGTCTCAAGCTCCCGGTCTTAAGCGATTCTCCCGCCTCAGCCTCCCAAAGTGCTGGGATTACAGGCATGAGCCACAACGCCCAGCTGAATTTGAGCTTTTTAATAATCTCATTCCACATAGCCTTATAGCTCCTGTAAATAGGGGGTCACAAAAGTAATATATTGTGTTATGGAAGATATTTTGTACTGTGCTGTTTCCTAAATCATACCAATATCCGAAGGTCACACACTTTCCAGATGATCGTGATCGTTAAAATGCTTTGTAAGATGGGGCAGGGCGTGGAAACACACACACACACACACGTATAGTATATATTTTCCTAACCTTTCTTCTGGGTCCTTCCTCAGATATTTGAGTCACAGTAGAAACGGAACTCGAGTTCTTTGTGTAGGAAAGTTAAGCTTCCTGCCTGCGGTGTTCTTGCAATTGCCTTATGAATTCACAAGCTCCAGGAATTCTGAACGGAAGGCAGACAAGAGGCACTTTATCCAATTCCAGAAAGAATCTCTAACCATGCAACTGAGAATTCATCTAGAAAAACTTATATTTTTAATGTAAAAAAAAAAAAATGGGGCATCCCGGACCTCACAGAGTATTGGACGTCTACAAGTGCTTTTATATTTTGTAACTGTAAAGAGGTTTCATAGGCACAGAAGAGCAGTTGGAAATCTGGTCGACTGCAATAAAACAAGATGACCTTTGCATGTACAAAGATGTTGCATTCAGACTATGAAAATAGCAAATAAAGCTTTGGTGCAAGTTGCATTGGAGAAGTCAGTGCGTCCGTGTGTGAATGAATGGAGCCTCCCATGCATGGAGGCCCTGACTGGGGCCGGCTGAGTCAGTCTGTCCTTGATGCTGAGCTGTGGACCGGCCAGCGAGAGGGCATCGCTGAGGTCCTGGGAGAGGGTGACCATGCAGAATGGGAGGCCATGGAAACAAGGCAGGATTTCCATTCAGACTGACAAGGGGTTCAGTCCTCGTTCTGCCACCTCCTGGCTGTCGGCTTCCTTTTAAGCACTGGTTCTCCTTAGCTATACAATGGTAGTGGTGATCGGGACATTCGCAGGTAAGAGTTGAAGGTGGTGTTCTCAGCCGGGTGGATGGTGTCCTCCAGAGCATATCTGGCAATCACAGGAGGCATTTTTGGTTATCAGAAGGAGGAGAGAAGATGCTCTGGGAAGACAGTAGAGGCCAGGGAGGCTGCCAGCATCCCACAATGCACAGGACAGCTCCCACCGCGACCCCACTACAAAGAATGACCCGACCCCAAATGGCAGTAGTGTCAAGGTTGAAAAGCCTGGATTGAGGAGATGTAGCACATCAAAGTGCTGCGCGCAGTAGGTCCGCAGGATCCTGAAAGGTGATGGGAGGGGGAGCCATGCCAGCCCCACTTCTGCCTTCCTCCTGCCATCCCAGCTGGCGGCAACTACTCCCAAATTAGGGAGTCCACACCAACTCTGTTTTCTATGATCTCCAGCAGGAAGTAGCCCCTTGGCTTGACCTGTCCAGAGAAGGCGGGGTGCTGGGAATAAAAGTCAGAAAATAACAGGCTCTGTGCGCAGTGCTTTGCTTACATGACCTCCAGAAATGGCTCACGTAGAGAGAAGTTTCTCCATTTATGGGTGAGGAGATAATAGCGCTGAGACCTTCAGGAACGCCCCCAAGGTCACACAGATCTGCCAGACTCAAGAGTCCAGCTGTCATTCACAGCATCTCACCACCCTCTGCCCCTAGCCTTGTAAACTCACTCCTTTGCTCCATAATTATTTCATTCATACAATAATCTTTATCAGATATTGATCACACGCAAAATTATACTTTGTTAGACACTTAAAAAATTCCCGGGAGCTGGGTGCAGGTGCCCATAGTTCTGGTTACTTGGGGCACTGAAGAGAGAGGATTGCTTGATCCCAGGAGTTTGGGTCCAACCTGGGCAATATAGCAAGATCCTGCCTCTAAAAAAAAAAAAATTAAAAATGCCTGGATCTACTTTTTTTTGGTCATACATAAGTTGACTGTGATGATCACTTTTATTTCTATCGAGGTTAAGATCCCAGGCCTGGGAGCAGGCCAGCCCCTTTCTCTCTGCTGGGTGATTCTGAGGAAATGAGCTCACTTCCCTGAACTCAGTTTCTCCATGTATAAAATGGAATCGTAACTCCTCCCCTAAAGGCGGCTGGGTGAGGATTCCACACCGTGCTTATGAAGCTGGCACGATGCCGTGCGCGCAGTAGGTGTTTGATGATAGCTATTATTCGTGCATGTCTTCTACATGAGGAAAGGCAGTCTGTGTTGGTTCTGTGATGGCATCCTATGGAAACGGTTCGGTGGATTTGCACCCAAGTTGGAGAGTATGGTCAAGGTGACCTGACTTACATTTAGGCCACGTGGTATGTGGAAAATGGAGAGTCCGGGATCCCTCACTTTAAGAACTAGAATCTTTCCAAAGGTTTCATGTGCCCCAATAGGAAATGGTGAACCCGAGAAACCACAGAAAGGGAGTTGGTGGTTGTGGGGAAGACAATGGAGAGCTTCCCACCCTGCTTCCCGCAAAGCCAGTGAGGTCCCTCTGCCCCCAGGAAGTCATCAGAGGCTGTGGCTGAGGAGACAGGCTCTGGGGGCCTCCGTGGACCCGCTATTGGAGTGAAATGGCCTGGAGGGAATTGGGTGGACAGGGTGCTGCCTCAGCAGGCTGGGATGTGCTGGGCTGTCAGAACGTGCCCATAAATAGCATGCTCCTTGCGAAGGCAGGCCGAGTCTGCAGACAGCCGTGGCTCCTCTGTTCTTCCTGAGGCTACAGCAACAGGTTCATTCTGGGATGGGTTGGGGGTGGAGAGGCAAAAGCCACCCTGGCAGGCCTGGACCTTTGCTGGTCTCTGTGAAACATGCATGGCTGACCGCCTGCAAAAAAACCGGGGACTTCCTTAAGGTTCAATTCCCAGCGAGGGGACCCAGCCAGCCCAGCTGGGGGTGAAACAGGGGGCCCTTGTCTGCGGTGGCCAGGGTCCACATCCCTGGACGTGTGCTTGGGGCAGGGGAACTTCAAAAGCTGAGTCCCTCTGAGGGAGAGGAGTGGACACACATGTCCCCCAAGTCCCCCAAACGTCCTCCATGAGCTGGACCAAGCCCTGTTTACTGATGAGGCTGGGACAGACAGAACAAGACAGCCTGCAGGCTGTGCGTGGTTGGGCATGCATCCAGCGTATGTGGGCTGTGCAGCTGTGCGTGCTGGAGTGGCCGTGCTGGGAGCTGTGCGGGGGGTAACAGCTGGGTGTGGGTGTGTAGAGGTAGGCGCCTTGTCCATCTGCCCCCAGGAAGTCAGAGGCTGTGGCTGAGGAGACAGCCACTGTGGATGTCTGCAATGGGCAGGTGTGCGTGCGTGTGCGTGTGCATGTACATGTGTGTGTGTGTGAGGGAGAGAAGCTATCCTGTGAGCCCCCTGGTGGGGATATGATGGACCATGACCATAGAAACTTGTGTGTGTGCACACAAAATCAGAACAGTCCTGTGTGTGTCCACGTGTGCAGCAATGATGAGAATTCTTCCGTGTGACTGTGGCAGGGGCCTGTATGGCATGTCACTGTCCCCGTAGCATGAAGGAGAAGTGTTGGTGGCAGGTCTTGAAGTGGCTGGTGTACAGTTGTGTTCGATAAATGCTTAAGGAATGAGGAACTGAATGCGGGGAAACTGACCTGACCTGGAGCAGGTGTCCAAGGACCTGGTCTTACAAGGGCTTTCTCTAGAGGTCTGTCTGTCCACCTCCTGACATTTGGGGTCTCCTGTCCATCCTGGTCACCCAGCCCAGATCCTGGCACTGTGTAGGTGCTCATGGAATCTTTGGTGAACAAAGGAACCAGCGAACGAGAGTTCCTGGAGTATGGTGGTGGGAGAGACCCTGTAGAGAAAACGCCCTGAAGCCTACCCTTTAGCCAGGGCCTGGGGGTGGTACAACTGCAGAGAGCTCTGAGGGACCTGGGTTTGGGGGAGAGTCTGCATCAGGGGAAAAGAGCACGGGGCTTTGGAGCCAGGCCCGACCCAGGCCACTTCCTTACTGTATGCCTGAGGAAGTGGCCTCGCTTTGCTGAGCCTGAGTTCCCCTCTGTACAATAGGGCCCCGATCCCACCGTCTCAGTCCGCAAGGCCCATGGCAGGCACTCAATGGATGTTTGCTGAATGACTGAATGACCGAATGTCAATCATAAGTAATGACCGTGTCCCATGGGCAGCAAGGTTCTGTAGCTCATCCTAGACTCCAGTCACATCAACACCTGGCTTCTCCCAGTGGATCCAGTGACCCATTTCCCTTTGGTTTGAAGCCAGAGGTGTTCCTGGGGAGATGGCAGCACAGCATGGAGCACCCGAGCAGGCTGCGGCTGGCAAGAGCCATGGAGGCCTTGGAGGCAGCTACAAGGTACTGGGCGGGGCAGGGGTCAGAGGGCTCCAGGCCCAGGGCTGCTCCTGGGTGTCAAAGTCGTCTTCCCAGCCAAGCAGCACCTCTGCAGAAAGGAAGAGCCATCCTTCCAACCCCCCAGGCCAATTCGAAAAAGCTCTCGTTTCATGGGTGGGTCCTCTCACTGCCACCCTCCTGTTAGAAACTTGCTTCATGAGCTCACTGCATCTTCCCTCGCCTGCAAAACGGAAATGGTCACCCACATCCTCCCTGCGTCAATGGATCAGAGGGGCCCGGGACTTTCCAGAAGCATGGTTTGCGCTCTGACTCTCCTGTCTGACCTCAGCCCGGTGTCTTGCCCTCTCAGGGCCTCAACAGCCCCGTCTTTGAAATGGGGGTGGTGCCCAGACTTCATGTCTAGAGTTGGTGTAAAGGCTAAAAGGCATGAGTGAAGTCAGCTAGCAGAGGGAGGCACACTGGAAATCTGAGAGGAGGTTTGAATGTGTTGGCTGTGCCCTTGCCAAACCATCTCTGCGATGGTTTTGGGAAATGACTGGAGACAGAATCTAAGGATGGGTTGAATCCCGGTGCCTCCTCTTAGCTAGCTGTGCAGCCCGAGGCCAGTATCTTACCCTTTCTGAGCTTCTTTCATCCCTTCTGTAAAATGACTGGGGATCTTCTACAAAGTCAGTGTGTGTTTCCAGGGGGGCGAGAGAGGTAAAACCTTGGTCTGTCTTTGCAGCCCCTAGGCTTTGGTCTGTCTTTCCTAGGCTTGAGGGAGGCATAGGTTTTCTCAGAGATTCATTTGTCCTGCACTGGGTGTTTTAAAGGGGGAAATTTCACATTAAGGAAAATGCAGATTTCTGACCTCTCATGAAAAAATTGGAACTGGGACATCATTCCCTCACTGCCAGAAGCAGCTTCATTTCCCCACGGTCCTCTCTGGTTATTTCAATCCGCTGGGCTCCCCGCCTGTCTCCTGCGGGACATTCCAGTTGCAATCCCTAAATTTAATTGGTCTCTGGAGTTCCTGAAGGCGTTTCCCTCCATGGCCATTAGAGGGCAGTGCAGGCACGCCTTGGTGCAGGCTCCAGGCTGGCGAGATGCCAAGAGGATAAAGCAAGTGGTACTTCCCTCTGATGCCCCAGGGAGGGGCAGAAGCTGGAGCCGGGAGCCCAGCAGAGGTGGGATGGTTAGGACGCTGCTCTTCCAGGTGATCGTGTACGAACTAGAGAACTTCCAAGGCAAACGCTGCGAGCTCTCGGCCGAGTGCCCCAACCTGACCGACAGCCTGCTGGAGAAGGTCAGCTCCATCCAAGTGGAGTCCGGGCCGTGAGTACCTAGACCCCCCCAGGCCCTCGACACAACCCTGAGCCT